ATATAATATAAACAGTGCTTTATCATTAAAAACTCATTTACTTTCTACAATACTGCAATGGATTTGGCTATTTTTATTCTTAAATAATTTATGTGGGATTTCCATGGCAGTTTTTCATCAATGATGACACCCAGAAACTTCACCTCACTGACTCTTCAGATCTCAACACCATCAACTCTAAATKAAATATTGGTAGTTTTCTTTTTATTACTGAATATCATATAATTAGTTTTGTCCAAATTAAGTTGAAACCAAGTTTGTATTTTTACAAATTCTGTTTGTMTCRTTTTCATCAGAYGTTCTAWGTCTTTACAAAACAAAACAAAATATGGTATCATCTGCAAATAAAACACATTTCAACAACCCTGATACATTTACCAAATCATTTACATGTAAGAGAAACAACTTTTGGTCCAAGTACAGAACCCTGTGGAACTCCACATATGATATCACAGAGTTCAGATCTTACATCATTTATTTGTACAAACTGTTTCCTGTCTTTGAAATAACTAGATACCCACTGTAGTGTTGGTCTTCTAATATGATATTTATTTAACTTTTTAAAAAGAATACTATGATCAGTGGTGTCGAATGCTTTCTTTAAATCAGCCATTTTCATGTTGTTTGGAAATATTCCTGATGAAAATGATAAATTGCATTGCATTACATTTAAGAACTCACCACTCACTTTATTGCATTTTCATGCAGAAGCCTTTACAGGTGGTGAATTTGTAGCAGAGTGGTTCTATGATACATCAGGTGGTTTCTGAGAGTTTCAAGGTTCTGTAAAATCAGTCTGAAAACAATACAGCAATGTACTTATATTAGACATTTTAATTTGTACTTTTGAATACTTGAGTATTTTTAAATGCATGTACTTTTTAATACTTAAGTATTTTCAAAAGTAAGTACTTCAGTACTTTAACTTAAGTAGATCTTTGACTGAGCAACTTTTACTTGCAGTTGAGTAAAATTTGACGAGTATCAGTACTTTTATTCAAGTACTAGATTTGAGTACTTTGTCCACCACTGCTGATAGATAGCCCTTCATCAGAGCTAAAGAAAAAAAAATCTGAAGCTTCTATGTTTAATAGTTTTTGAGCTATAACCATCTTTGTATGTCCAGATACCCCTTTTTCAGATAAAGTGGTGGTCCGGGGGGTGGTGGGGGGCACTGATTGATGGGCCTGATGGATAGAGTTCCATCAGAATTAAACAACAAAATAAATCTGAAGCTCCTATGTTGAACAGTTTCTGAGTTATAAGCATTTTTGCATGTCCAGACACCTCCTCTTTGAAAGGAGCCCCCTCCTCAAATATGGGGTCTATCGTAAAACCGTCTACAGCCTCATCTACTCATCAACTCATCTACAGCCCTGCCTAATTTCGTGTTGACCGGTGCAGCCGTTTTTGTGTTACGATTGACCAAAAATCACTGAAMAAAAAAAAAAAAAGTATGAAAACAATATGACTCCTGCTCACGCTTCACATGYGGGGGTCATAATAAACCTGCAAATGTTGACTGAACACGAGCAACATAGAAACACATATGTACATATTTTTCCTGTTTTGGTAAAAACAGACGATTATCTCATAGGGCCGTGTTCTTCTTGTCTAATCTGTCCTTTGGAGACATGGCGAGGTTTCGCTGCCGGGCGCTCTCCTCCTGGTATCCCTGCATCATCAGGCTGGTTACGTGCTGGAACATGGTCTGGATCAGAAACATGAGCTCAATGTGAGTCAGAGATCAGGCTGGTGAAGGAAACAAATGCTTTAAGCCAAAAATCAAAGTCTAAAAATATTT